ACAGGCTGCCTAGAAATATTGAAGAGGAATCCCTGGAATTTTTTGTTAGACACACTTGGCTGGGATGTTTCTGCCCAGAGCAGGGGGCTGAACTAGATGACCTTGTGCGGGTCCCTTCCCGCCCTGTTCCCCAATGATGCTAAGAGCAAGGCCTTTAGCATGAGGCCTGAGGACTTGGGCATATGGAGAAGGTCCTCATCCTGGGTCACCAGGCAGATGTAGCTACGTACTGAGAACAGGGGAAAGTCCTCAGTGCCGCATGGCTTTTGAATGCAGGCTGCTCACTCAGGGAGCCATCTCCAGCCCCTTGCAGTCCCCAGCCCAGGACCCTTTCTGGAAAGAAGAGACCTGCTTATTTTTGAACGAACTGAGAACAGCTCAGCTTCTGAAGCCATGGCTGGCAAAGAAGGAACAAGTATTGGTGCTGCCTTATTGCTAATGAAGTAGCCCAGAGATTTGAGCACTTACCCAAGAAGTGTGAGACCTGGGTTGCCTGAGGGATTCAAGCCCATCCCTCTGGAAATGCCCTCACCACCAAGCTAGAGGCAAGGCTAAGTGGGGAAACCTCCTGCTGAAGTCGGGCCACCATGCAGCCTCGAACTCAAGGTTTGCTAGCAGGAGACAGAGCACGACTGTGCATGAGGGGATAACTTGGTCCCCCAAGACGAGGTGGATGTGTTGGCCTGTGAAGTGCAGGTTCATGTAGGACAGGGCTATCCATCTTCTGAGCACCGAGAGCGTAGCTGTATTAGGTCCGATCACCTGTATGTGCCAATTCAGGGAAGCCCTTAAGTGCATCCAAAGTGTGAGATATCAGACGCACCTCACTAAAGCATGTCCCACCAGCTATGCCAGGTGGTCCTGGCACCCGGTCTTCGGCATGGTGTTTCACCCAATCCTAGGCACCAACCTTTCCCCACTTGGAGCGCAGGGGGCTCAGGCGCCAGCTTGGGTTTGTGAATTCTCCTCCTAGAGGCAGAAACATTCAGCATTGTCACACCTGAGTCCCAGGGGCGTCTCAGCTGTTTCACGGCTCATCACGTGCACACCAGAGATGAGAGCAATTCCTGACACCAGGAGATACTGTAGAGTAAATGCATGACAATGGCAAGGTACCCAGGCAAATTGAGTTGGTCTAATAAAAAGTATCACCTCTACCACAAGTCCTGCTTGACAATGGCAAAGTGCTTAAGTGAGGACAGCCAGGAGCATAAGACCTGTAAGTCCAGAGCATGCTCTGATTCACCCCCCAGTGCATGGACATCGTGAACCCAACGCAGGGAGACACTGGACTGGGCCCATCCCTGGTGAAAGGGAGTGAGATGAAACCGGCTCATACTCATTTGGGGGAAGCCAGCTGCATGGCATGAAAGAGCTGATTGCTGCCATATTTAGATGCAACAGAACAAATTGGGAAGCGAGATGGCCTCCAGCTTCCCTCACTTCGGGCAATATTTCAACACCACATAGGGGCTCGCTTTCTGCATAAAGGGCCAGTTCCACTTGTTATGTAACAGGCCAACCTTGTTCATGCATGTGTATATCTGGCTGCATTTTTAAAGCATTGCACTTTTCATCTGAGAGATCTTCATCTGCATTGTGGTACCGTATGACTATCAGAGGAGACTGATATTGCTACGCGCAGTAGAGAGAGATTAGGCCTTCCCTTCTCTTCACCGACCGCCCCATGTTCTCATGCAGACCCTAGCACCTGTTGCCCCCTGAACTCTGCCCCATGTTAGCATGCAGCTGGCAAAATGCTGCTGAAGAGAGGAGCACAAGCCTGGGTCCTGATCCTTGTGCACTGCTGAGCTGTGCAGGAGAAGCCCATTTCTCACCGCCCCCATTTCACTCTCCTTTTTGCCTGGGGAGGTTGTGGTATGCAGGTGATGGACCTGGCAAACTTCCCACTTCTCTCTGCCATGCCGACCCTTTGCTGAGGACACTTCCACAGTTTCCCTTCCAGCAGCAACCATCCGTGAAGAAACTGTGGCAGTTCAAAAAGCAAAGCAAGGGAGGTTTCCCTGGTGGGCAATTATTATTAAAATCAGCCAGGATTTAAAGCAAAACAAAGCCCCCAAAAACACCCCCACAAGAAAAAAAGCCCAAGCCAAATCAAAGAACCCACGGATGAAATAAAATTGAACCCAAAAGCAGAGATCCTATGGATACACTAAGCTAGACAGGATTACTGGCTACACTGGGTAGGTGTCTTTAGTCTGGTATGGCAAAAAAAATTGAAAACACAGTGGTCTTTGCATTATAGATGGGCTTAGCTGCTGTTGCCCTGCTTTGTTTGAAATGAAGTAGTAGTTTGCTTGTGAATGGGGTCTGAGGCTTTGGTTATGATTATTTTTGAAGGGGTGTTGGTACATTTGCCTTTTATCCCTGGAATATCCACCGATGCATATGCACATGATGCATTTAAAAAAACCCACAGACACATGTAGGGAGCTTTTAGTAGTTTTTAAAATAGTGTCTCAGACACGAGCAGCTTGTCCAAGATACGCCCAATGGTAAAAGCTTACAAAACTTGAGCAATGGCTCCACATGGCACTTTCTGCTACACTGCAGAGAGTGACGGCAGTGGAACCAATTCTTTCCATGCTGAGTACCATCCAAACGCTGTAAAAAGTAGCACAGTATAGTTAGTTGTGTTAAAATTAGGTTCAGTGTGACACTAGTATGCAAATGCTGTGGTGGGTGCAGAGATCCCACCTCAGGAAAACAGCTGGGTATTCGTATCCCACTGCTATTTCCACCACATGAGGCGGGCCAGTAGGGGGCACTCCTGCATTGAGCCGCCCACCTCCCTGCTCCCGACCACCTTCCAGGCTCCGAATGCCTCCCTAGGGGCGCCTTATGTCCGGCCAACCCCTCTCCTGGAGCACACTAGCTAGTCTGGGGGTAACGTGCCGCCACCACCCCGAAAGTGGACTGTCTGAGCCCTGTATCCTCGGGGAAACACAGGCCTAATAGTCCTATGGGTACTCGACCCAATACAGGCACTTGGGGCACTTCCCCAAGTCCGGGGGCAAAAAGGAAAGTCTCCCTTAGTCCGCAGCCCTAAGGGGTCTCTTAGGCATAATTTAGACCCACCCCTCAATAAGTCTCCCACA